CGTATGGCATCGAATTATGTGGTGGCGAAACGGAGTAGATGATATCGAATAATTTAACGCGGTCACACCAAGTTAAAGATAATTGCTTTTTTAAAAATCGCTAAAAAATCACGAAAAAGAGATCTCATTGATCTCGAATTTAAAATAATAGTAAATTCTATTGACAAACTTTGTAGGATCTTTAAACTTTTGCTGTAAAAAATCAGCGACATTGGAGATTTTTTACTATACCTATATGAATAACTCCAGGACCGACATCGTGGTTCGCTGGAAGATGCGAACACTTTAAACAAACATTACCGAAAAAGCCTAATGCTATCATAACTCGCGGATAGGGTACAATCCGATTTCATATTTATATACCATCGTATGTTCTAAGCTATTTTTGGGGTCTTCGCCACTTTTTTTCATATTTTGGCACTTATTTGGCACCTTTTTCTATAGGTAGAGAACCTTCGCATAAAGTTTGAAATTTTTGGAGTAGGGCCCATATGGTCTTGACCACATTCACTATTGATTTGGCTAAAAAATTGTATTTATGCTACCCAGGGGTAGGAACCATCATACATAATTGCCACATAGGAATTTATTAAAGTAAAGTCCCCACATTGGAGTATCCCCAAGTTCACTTTCACATCTAATGTGTGGTCAGAAAAAAAGAATTGTGTTCTATTGAATTTGTAACAAAAGAATATTGGTTGGGACGTAGATTTGGAATGTACATCTATATGAAGAAATTATGAAAACATGAACAAATTAAATATAAGAAAGTAGCACGAGACCGAATATCTACAAATGTAGAATTTTTTAGAATAATAGTACCCCTTCAAGTCCACTTTTTGGCGGACAAACAGAACGACATGGTTAGGGGACTTATGAGGACTCTATTGCACAATCGGAGGTTCTAAACGGGTTTAAAAAAGTAATTAACTTTGGCTATTCTTAAATCTTTCAGGTGTACAAAATACATTCCAAATTACTGCTCATTTGACTGGAAAATTTTGCTACGATTTTTACCATACTAAAAATTATTTGATCCCTAACATGGGAATAGATTGGATATATACTTTTAAATGGATTTGTATAGCACATCCACAATTTGAAGTCCACGTTTTAAATATTGAAGAAGAATTAGGCTGGCACAAATAGATATATATATATAGTACCCCTTCAAGTCCACCTTTTGGCGGACAAACAGAATAAAACGGAATGACAAATTGAGTAAATCATGTAATGTTATTACTCAAATAGAGCTCTATTGACAACATCACCTGAAAGTAACATAGGCTATATACATTTTTGAAATTCCACTTGGATGTGGAGATATGCCATCAGAATCGGAGGTACCTTCCACAAAATTTAGATTTTGTAAGCACATATCTATTGATCGACTACAGATACAGTCCCAAATTTGGAATACGTAACGGAATTTGGAACAAAACTAAATTTGTCAAATTTTATTGAAATCGGTTCAGATTTGGATATAGATCCTATATATATTTTCGGCCGATTTTAAGCAATTGATGCACCAAACACGATATGTATGACCAATTTTAATGAAATTTAAAATAAGTAAATACACTGGTGGCCAAAACTAAAGCAAAGTAAAGTTACAAGGAGAATGAATGCCCTGTAACTTTTTTTAAAAAATAAGAAAATTAGAAAGTGTTTCTTATTTTAAATAAGGCACTTATTCACTTTTTAAAAACTTAAAACAAAAAACCAAAATTCACTTTCATACAAAAAATAATGTATGGTAAAGTCAATTAACCCAATTTTGGCTTGGACAAAAGAAAATCAACTCTGTCGTACATTCATATGATTGCTGCAATTTCAGTTGTTTTTGCTGCTATATTTATATAACATAAATATTATTATATATTATATTTATATTACATAAATATTTCTGTGATTTCTCGTATACTAAGTCAGTTTTATGAAATTGGATCAGTAGTAACAGTCTATAACGGTTGAAGGCTGTGAAAAACTTCAGCCCGTACTCTTCAACAAATTGTGAGAAAAATAAAAAAACAACCATTTAAGAGTTCAACTGAATTGGTGAGAGAGCTATCATTGGATATAAGCTTGAGATAAGTGCCTAGACGAGAAGTGGCAGCTGGTCTGCATGCCCGTAAGCCATCAAAAAAGCGATTTGAAAAAATCGAAAACCAGAATGGCTTTCGAAAACGATAATGTTAATTGGAATCCAGCTCAATGGAAAAATATTTTATTCTGGGATGAGTCTACGTTTAAAAAAAAGACTAAGACATGAAAAAAATTACGGTGAGAATACCAAAAAATGAAAAACTTAAGCCGCAGTGTTGCAAGGGTATAGTGAACCATGAGGGAGGATCAAAAATGGTGTGGCGCTGTTTTCTTTCTATGGACTTGAGCCTATCCATGAAATAAAGGAAGTTATGGATCGGTTTGTTACAAACATGTGTGGACTTCATGTTGTTCCCTTTGGCTGAGGAAAATATTGGGCTTATTGGGCAGCATGACAATGGTCCTAAGCATGCATCAAAACTTCTTAAAGATTGGTTGCGGGATGTCAAAAATCGGTGTTTTGTCATGGCCGGCACAATCACCTGACCTAACCCCCATAGAAAACCTTTGGAGTATGGTAGACAGGAAGATCAAGCGAGAATCGGAAACAACTAAACACAACATTTTCCAAAGAATTTGGGGTGTCTACGAAAGCATACCCAAGGATCTAATTGAGCAAGTTATAGATTCAATGCCTCGTATGTGTGCAGCTGCTATCAAAAATGATGGGTATGCTATTATTATTATGCTACTAGCCAAAATTTAATTATTTTAAAATAAAAATCAAAAAGTTGCTTTAGTTTTGACCAAGCAAAATTGGGTCTTTTTAATTTTCTATATTTTATTTTTCATTCAAAATTATTTCTGTATTTTTATTTTAAGGTTTTTTAAAGTGAATAAAGTACCTCATTTAAAACTGGAAAAATACGATGTGTGTAATATTGTGCAGTATATATATATATATATATATATATATATATATATATATATATATATATATATATATATATATATATATATATATATATATATATATATATATATATATATATATACTGCACAATACTTTCTATACACGTTATAGTATACATTTGCCAATCGACCTACTTATATAAAAATTTTTATTCTTACACTCCCTACCGAATGTAGTACTTTACATACACTATATAGCAAGTATTTCCAAAAATTTCCTTTGACTAACCCACAACTCTCTTCATAGCATATATCAAATTTACTATCTGGTCTGTTTCAGAATGGGAAGAATGTAAATGTTTTTACTACGATAAACGAGCTATCATTTCGTACTTTTCGTACCTGTTACATTACGGGTTTCTAAATGCACCTCT